AAACCTTTGAAACAGGGGTCAACAGATACCCATAAACATATGTATCTAATTAAATCAAATCTGCCTTAATTACAACCTCTGACCTGGAAGTAAACAGTTAAGTGACATATCAACACACCAATATATCTGAAATATACAGGTAAAAATCAGCTAGGGAATACTAAGTTGGATTTCCTTTGTATTTATTTTGCTAATGTTTACAATTATTTCTATGAGCCATTTATAAACTATTTCTTTTTCAAATAATATTGATGCATTAAACTTATTCAAAACAATGAAAACATTCTTTGAATTTTTATTAAATTTTATTTTAACAATAACAACCATATAAATAAGATTTGCTTTGTAACAATTTCTGTTCTAATCAAAGTTTATTAAAATTTTTGAAATAAATAAAATAAAGCACTTCCAAATTTCAGAAAATTAAATATGAATTTTTTTTTTAAATACTTTTTGAAAACACACATACAAATATATGCATAAATTAACTCATCAATAAAATGGAAAAAATAGCAAAAAATGAAGTAATTAAATATTCCATACATGTTTTTCTTTTTTAGTATTACTTTATCTTATTGTTGCTTTTTATTATAATGCTTTCAAGTACTCATATATATATATATATATATATATATATATATATATATATATATATTATACAAGCAAACAAACAGGTAGGTCACACCCTTAGCTCTTGGTTGCCAAAGTGGGTATTTGCAGTGATGGATACAGATAGGTCGCACTATAATGTGAGAAGTTACATGGCCCTTTTTTTCATGTAAATATAACTAATGTTTGTTAAATAATATTTCTGAAACTCCAAACTCTTTCTGCAGATCTGATTCCATGTTCTTCTGCATAATCCACCACTTTCCACTTAAAACCTACTTCTTAACTTTCTCTTACTCCTGATTAGGGTTTGAAATTATTAAAATTTGTAAACTACCGCTACCATTAAAAATCAGGATGAAGAAAGTTTTACCAGTAAATGACTAATCCGTTCTGAATAACTGTAAGCGAAATTGTGATTGGCTGTTAATTGTGTGGTGTTTACTTATCAAGTGCGAGGCTGTTCTGATTAAATGAAAATTTGGATACCGGTAATTGCTTCAGTCCTAAAATCACTTGAAAATGATTGTCCTTTGTCGTAAATCAGATAATAAATGATAAATATGAGCAGTGCAGATCAAGCACCTTTATTCGATGTGACATGGTACTGTTGTAAGAGGCGATTGCATAAAATTGAAATCTCAGGAAAAATTCATTTTCTCCCTTGCTCTCGCTTATGCTCAAGCCCAGGGTACTCGCTTGGAATACTGATATGCCCCAGCCTACTTCAAATTCTTTATGATGTCAAGTGCATAGGTCGCTACCCAGACTTTTATTGAAATGTTGGGGTTTAAAAAAAAAAAGTGCAACCAATTCTCGAGTATACACAGTAATGCTTTCTTTGGCCCAGTTGCATATTCTGTCTTTGTTGAACTCGGGGTAATCTTGGGTGGCCTTGATTGTTGTAGAAATTCTAGTTTTCATATTCTTCAGTTGAATCAAATACCAAAGAACTTCTAGTATAAATTCAATTCACTATGTTTTCCTTGATTCTTGCTGACAATAGGTTTTAAACTACTCCAGAATGACCAACAGGCTTAAATTCCAGGAATTTGGAACAAAGAATATCTTTGAACAAGATTAACTTGCATCCCCTACCACAAATGCTTGCTGGGTCAGAGCAAACCCTATGCCACTAGGTCCGCAGCAACAGCCAAGTAAAATTCTTGATTCTAATCCTGTACTAAATATTTTTTAGTTAATAAAAAATGCATAAAAAAGTTACTCAATCTAAGAAAGTTAGACAGTTTGAAATAGTAAAGTAAACAGTAGGACTAAGAGTAAGGAATTCAAACTACTCCATAATGAGTGGTTCTAATGGCTGTCTTGTTGTAGATGTCACTGTATGAATATCAATGTGGTATGGGATGCAAGCTTGCAACTACTACTTTGTTTTGAATGTTCACAATTTGTCAAAGGCAAAAAATAATAATAATACTTTATCTCAGAACCTTGAAGAACTTAAATTTAGGAAGATATTCTAGTCTAAATAATGTCTGGTTTATTTTCAATTGTTTATAAAGTCAGGGATTCTAATTCTCCATTATTAAATTTAAAGCCGCCTTAATGCTAGTTTGTTTGGAATTTATGAAAAACTAAGACTTTTTACCTTTGGTTAACACCTATCCAGATTTTGGAAAATGGAGTGGGCCAAGAACTTCTCAGTATCCTTCAATGACTTTTTATCCAGGATTTACTTTAAACCTTTAAAATAATGCATTTAGAGGCAATTGTTGCTTTGGAATGATCACAAAAAGCAACAGACAATACTTTTTGATGTCATCTTTTGCATATTTTTTTGGTTTGGATTTGATGCTCATTAAATAATTCATACAGAACATCAAACAAGTTTAACTCTCAAAATTTTAACTTCAGTTTTTTTTTTTTTTTTTTTTTTTTTTTTTTTTATTCAACATCAGTTAATACCAAGGACCTCAAGATCAAATCACAGAGTTCAGTCTTTCCTGCTCTGTAATCCATAGCTCAGGGAGACGAGATGGCTTCACACAATACCCAAGGGTAATTTGTATGAAAGTGTATGTAACAAACTCAATTCTCTGTTGTACTGTCCACACATCATTTACCATCAATATTTCCATAGTTACAGAACTTATTTTTTCTATTCTTTATGAAGCTAATTTTTCAAAATTGATGGGTTAAAAAAAAAAAAAAAAAAAAAAATTAGAGTAAGTAAAACAAATCAAGAATAAAAGGATAGTTCTCGATTCATTAGGGAGAGATAAATTTTATATATTATACAGGGTGCAATGGATAAATTGCTATCTAAATTATGCAAAAATGAAAATAACACTGACATCTCATTTTACAGATATATATTCCAAAATTACACAAAAATCTATTGAAATACAAAAGAACAAATTTATTCAATAAAATCGCCATTGGCTTCAACCACAACCTCCAGATGACTTGAGAATCTTCTGCAACTGTTCTAGCTAGACAGTCTTCTTGTTTAAGTTGGTGAATGCTGCTATAATCCTTGCCTTCCGTTCATCTTTGGTAATACAAGGAGTTTTATTGGTCTCTTGCTCAACTGCACCCAACACATAATAATCAAGGGTGTTACAGTTTAGAGATGTAAGGGGTGATGTGGTCGCAGAAATTGTCTGACAGACATGACTGCACCACAGCACACAAGCAGGATAACCCAGAGTCCTGTTCCAGCAGCCACCCTCTTGACCCAGGGCAGCATTACTTACTCAAAGCACTTGATGTAGGCTTCCATGTCGAGTCCAAGGCTCTGTGGGAAGATGAATGGAGGCATAACGTCACGATCACTCCAAACACCCTTGTAATCACCATTAGATTCATCTCTTTTCGAATACTCTACATTGTTCTCAGGTTGACACCCCAAACACTCTGTAATGTTCGTATTGGAGCTTCCGGCATGAAAGCCAAGCAGTATAACATGCTGTTTCCCAATTTCTGGTGGAGTGAATTGTGTCATGGGGCTCTTTTTCTCAGACGGTGCCCAACTGACTCTACTATACTGTGCAATCAACAAACTCAAAAAACAAACAAGGTGCATGCACAAAAATAAAAATATATAATTTGTGGAACCCCAGTTACTGAAAATTTGCTCTGAATCATAAAATAAAAAATGTAATAAAAATAAGATCTCATTTAATTAGAAAAGATTTTAAATTGCTTTTATGAATAAAAATATATTAAGGACACTATTGTCTTAAGAAAAAAAATTTTTTAAATGAATAATGAATTTTTACAAGAATTGTTTTCATTTTTTTTTTTTTTTTTTTAATTTAATTAGAATAAATTTTAAATCTTTCAAATTCTGTATTAATTTGGACTGGTTAGGTGATACTGTTATGAAGGGAAAACTATATTTAATAATCAAAATAGAAGCACTTACTACAGTTCAGCAATCCCCTATATCTTTTAATAAAAAAAAAAAAAATAAATAAATTTTGCTTTTTTTTGGTGGGGTGGGGGCCAATTATTGTAAATACAGATGTCCAGACAAGACATTATCAGGAAATAAGAGCAGTAACTATAGTAAATTTAAAGTGAAAGTATCTAAAATTCAATAAAACAGATTACGGAGAATATTTTCCTAAGATATAATGTAGTTACAAATTATACAAAAAACACATTATATCCCTCAACTAATGTTTTTTTTTTTTTTTTAAACAGATATGCACCCCACTCCTTCCCAGAAAAAAAAAATAGTTAAATTTCCAGCTGACAATGCCTAATAAAAACATCTGTGTTATACAGATTTAAATTTATTAATGTTGTTATTTATTATCAATAGTGATTATTTTTCACACACAATAGATATAAACAAGTGTTAGTTTATATATGTGGACTGATTAAAGAATATATATCAAAAGCAAATACTGAATTTCCTATTAAAAATGCTGTACAAACAAAAATGTCCCTAGCTCAAGGAAACCTTGTATAATTTGAATGAAATTTAGCACTGCACTCAGCAGGGATTTGCTTCTAAATTGGTTTTAGAGTATTACGCAAGGACTGTATCTTGGGAACGCACATATATACAAGATTAGATTTTTATATATATATATATATATATATATATATATATATATATACATATGTAAAATTCTACCTCATTAAAGCTACTCTTAGAATCCATCCATTTCATTAATACAAGCAAAATATACACAAATTTCTGAGAACCTATATAAAAAGCATTTTCAAAACATCAGAAGTGTTATCATTAAACAGATCAATCTATATGATCATTCAGAATAAGCCACTGAATCAATTTTCATGAGCATCCAATCAATTTTTTTTTTTTTTTTTTAAGAGAATTGGTTTTTCCTGAAAACTTAAATATCAAGATACTACCAACGTTTACAGAAACCATAAAAAAAAAAAAATATACTAACTTCCATTGAATACTGTTTTTTGATTTCTTTTCTATTAACCCAATTCCTTCCAAAACATTGGTAATGTCGTATATCCGACGTTTTTGTCGCACAGCCAATTGATCAGCAGCCTAAAAGACAAAAAGCAAAGATAAAGAAATAAGATATACAAATTTTTAGAAGTATATAAATGTACTGATTGCTCACATTATACAAGTATTGAGTAGCCAAAAAATTTTCAGTTTTGTTGTCTGATGGCATTAGGAGGCTTTACTTCATTCAATATAATCATAAGTTGTCATATACAAAGGCATTTTCAGTTCCTGTTTTGTCAAAAGTGGTTTATTGTTTTATTGACTCATTCTAACATTGAAAATCAAAGAAAATAAGCAACATTTTCAGCACATTTTAAGAGAAAAAAAAAAAGTACTTTTATAACTGGACTAATGTCTTCATCTTTGTTATGTTTTGGTTGTTGTACTCTTTGGCCTTCTTCAGGTGCCCATCAATCCAGGTAACCTTCAGGCAATTAAACCCATTATCTATTTTTGGGGCAGACTGTTCTCATTCTGCTGTCCATGTTGAGGGACATCAGGTCTTGTTCTTTTTTAGTACTGCTTATAGGTACCTTCGTGAGATCACTAAAAACAGACCATAGCATGAGGAAAAAAGACGTTAAACTTGAAGAAAACAAAATTTTAGCATCTAAATGTTTATGTTATTAAGAGGAAAGAACAAAGTATTTTTAAATTATTTTTTTTTAAATTTTTCCCTCTTTAAAACATTCTAAATTTTGATTGAAATACCTTGTTTCTCTTCGTGTCAAGCAAAACTACTAAGTAACATATAAAATTTTAGCACGTTTTTTTGTATGACAGACATTAATTTTGAAAATCTTGCAAAAATAAAAATTGTTGAATTTAATGAAACTTTCAGAAACTATTCACAAATGATGGAACTTATAAAAATGTCTTTCTTTTTTAAAGTCATGGTAAAAAAATTTTTTTTGTATGTATTACATTTTTAAATGTCAGTTTGATTATCTTTCACGATGAGTAAATGCACACTTTCAGCAAAATACAGAGCTGAAGAGCCAGCTTTCCGTGATGTTTTTTATCATGATGGTGATAAATTATCTTGCAGTTTTTGTCAACACACCATAGATTGTACTCTGAGGGACATGCTTGTAGATTGTCAGAAATTGCTGAAGCACAAAAAAATAAATAAAAGATCCCTATATATGTAGGTTATATATTTGTATATTTTACTGTTTACACATAAGTCTCTGTTTTTCATGTGTTATTACGATTTTGAAACAAAAACAGAAAATTGAAATTACCCTCATGGAAGAACACCAAGAACTTGCCACCCGAGCTTTAATACTTCAAAAAAGAAAGAGTCAATCAAAAGGTATCAGTACCTCTACATTATTATTTAATCCTATGGAGACAGCCTCATTTGGAGTTTCAATGCCAAGAAGAGAGCTCTTTCCACTTACACTCTCTTGGAATACAAAAAAACTATATATATATAAAAAAATATATATATATATATATATATATATATATATATATATATATATATATATAAATTAAAATTACAGAACACAGAAACTGCCATTGGAAGGCCCAGACATGCAAGAAATACAAAACTCAATCTTATTGGCTGGTACAAAGACCAGCCAGTTAATCTCAAGACTTGAATTATCAAGTCAATGGATCTTCATCAGTTGACTTTCTGGCTGATATATCAACCCTGTTATATCCTAAGGGTTAAGCAAGTTTGTTAATTCTAATGTCAGATAAAGACAAAAGTTATGTAAAAAAAAAAGGAAAAAAAAAAAAAAAAAAAAGAAAAAAGGCAGCTAATATTTAATTTAGAAAAGTTAAAAAAAATATTTTTTTTCTTATTGCAAATATATTTTTCATCATCTTGAGAATGATGCTGAAAATTATCAAATTGCCAAAAAATCAATCAAATATTTTTAACTAAACACTGATTATATATATGCATTTCATTTTTTTTCTTCTCCAGAATTACTTTCATTCTTTGTCTACAAAAATTTTTCCAGGGCTCAAAATAATCCAGTTTTAGCAGCAAATTTTTTGTGCATGATCTACATTTAACATAGCATAAATTTACAGGCAAATTTTATGATTATATACTGACTTGTTCAAACTTTCAACACGTTGGTTACTGTCACAACACAGGGGGTCTGAAAAGTAACAGGACTGGGTTTCTTCTTCGATGTGAGAGGCACAGTTCTTGTCACAGGGTCAGATGATCACTCAGCAATTGTGCAAAGAGATCCTGCAGTGTCTGCTTCACTCACTGCACGAGAAGAGATGATGTCAAGACAAACACCATACTGGAACAACCTCCCTATTCACCTGTGTGACTTTTTCTTTTCAATAAGCTCAAGGCAATCATCAACAGGACTGATTTTGAAGATGTGGAAGCCCTCAAGGGGGCCATAACGATGGAGTTGAGGAGCATTCAAGAAGAATCCTTCCAGCAGTGCATAGAAGTATGGCAGAAGTGCATTAGACTTGCACGGGATTACTTTGAAGAGGAAACCATATGGTCGGTTCTTTGAAATTAAAATAAATTGCGACAAAATCTAGTTAATTTTCAGATAAACCTTGTATCAACACCTGAAGGCTGGCCAGAGTGTATAACAAGATACTAGTTGAAATAAATGATTCCTATCTCAAAAAGGATCTTTAAATTTCACATGATGAATGTAAATATTTTCCCTGGTTATATACCAATGAAGGCTAAAAATTAATGTACAGTATCAGTTTTGTATGGTATTTCTCAGAAGGAAAGTTTATTTAAATATTATTTAGTAAAAAAAAAAAAAAAAAAAAAAAAAAAAAAAAACAATTTTGATTCTCTTGAAGGTTTCAAAACAATTTTTCCTAACATTAGTCATGTCCATCCCTACATATCTACAAATTAAAATTTCCAGTTTTTCTATAATTGAACTATACAGATCCAACTAGACTTCCCTTAAACACAAACCCTACTAATCCTAGATGGTCTTTGGTATATTTAGTTTTGTGATGTTGGACAGCTTCATTTATCACTTTTGCTATATCAAGCGAAAATTTGTTAACACTTCCAAAATGCTCGTTATATTCGAGACTTTATAGACACCAGTACTAGTAGTAACACCTCCCAATAATATCCACACTAGTAATTTGTTCAAGTAGTAATCGCCAAATAGTATAATGATCAGAAGAGAATCGTAATCTGTATAGTAGTAGAGTAGAGAGAGTGAACGTATAGTAATAATGGATAGACAAGAAGAGTGAACAGTGATCATCACACTACTGCCTATTTATTCACTTCCCTTATGATCACATGATCTATTTAATAATGGAATCGCCCGTCTTACTCACTGGCAATCTAGTTTCAAACCACAGTGTCAGCAACAACATTTACTCTTATACAACATCTAGTAAGGGTTCATTCCACTTGACAAACATTATCACTTGCATTCCACGTTAATGTAAAGCATCAAATTTTCATCGTCACAATTTGTTTAAAAAAACTGAATGTTTAAATATAGTAGAACATATTTTTGTTTAATTGTATGGAAGCCACTTATAAAAGCGTCTAAATGACTTTCATTGCTTGGATATTCTAAGTATATTGAATATTTCCTGTATTATATTGATTATTTTTAAATAATGTCTTCATTTAATCACTACTAATTTCAACTTGTTTAACTGAACATGCGACACAGTTCAGTAAGAAATGTACAGTACAAAACTTTACAAACCACTTCTGACAGTTAATTATTCACAGAACCTTCTCCACAATTGCACAAATATTTTTAGAGTTGCATTTTTGTCTTTAAAAGAGGGGGGGGCATATGCCAAAATGTTTATTTTTGTATCTTCATGGTAAATATGTCAATATTGATAATTAAAAAACAAAACAAAGTGCCTCTTCACATGATAGATGTCACAATACAATCAAAAATCAATCTTTCTGAATGAAGTTAGTTAAAATTAAACACGCCTCACATCAAAGACAAAATGCACATTTTTGGCTACCCAATAAAATAAATTTTCTGAATAGATATTTAAGGAAGGAGGGAAGAAAAAAAAATAAGCAAAATTCAATTTTCATATATAATTGAGTGATAATGTATTTGATTTGTAGGTTATAAAGTTTCCTGTTTGTTCCTAAGCGACTAATTAGTGTGATTCGGTCAACCTATCATTTCAAAAGGAAACAAACTTTAAAACAAAAGAAAGGAAATAGTAGAACAATGACAGAAAATTGCTGCTGAAAAGGCCTCAGAATATTATGTATACTTAAAAACAGGATATATGTGATGAAGTTAGTACTGACTGAAAGAGTTTCAAATGTCTTAACTTTTTTTTTCTTTCTTTCTTAAATGTCTTAAGTAGAGAATGTGAATATGGAACAATCAATTATTTAAAATTTTTAGTCCCATCATTATTATTATATTATACATAAACTGTTTTCCAATCAGAAAACAATACATATAAAAAGAATGAAAATTTAACCTAAACTAAATTAGACATTTTTTTTTTTTTGGCTGTGTAAATGACAAATAACAGGGACACTTAAAACTTACCTTCACACCTGATCAACCCACCCGACTAAAAAAAATAAAATAAAATTTTCAGGTTAATTATGTAAACATTTTTTTTTTTTTTTCAAATGTAAAGAATTGGTAATTTATTTTTTCCCTATAGTTACAAAGTAACCTTAAATTAAAGTAACTTTAAATTGTATTATTAGTTAACTCGTTAAATGCTACTTTGATAAATTTAATCAGACTTCTGGGACTCAAAGATAGTGACATACAAAGAGATACCTGCAGTAAACAAAATATACATTTTAATATATTTTAAGTAAAAAGTAATATTTTTTCCAAATCCAGTAAATTAACTGTCAAAAATTTTCATCAGATCTTTTTGGCAATTAATTTTGACAGAGTTTTTAATTAAATCATCAGGTGTTGGCATGATATCAATATAGTGTAATCAAGTCAATTTAAGATAAAAACAGAATTCAATTAAAGCAATTTAAAACTTATTTTATAAACACATGTCATTTCAATGACCAATTTTATACTATTTTCTTGCAA